CTTTTCGAGAAGAACGCTGAAGAGCATTCTGTAGTTCACTCAGCGTGAAATCGGAGTTGCCGGCAGCCTGCGCTGGCGTGCTGGTAGCAGTGGCTACGACAAATCCCGGTGGCGGGGCGGGAGCAGAGGTGAATTCATCAGCAAGGAGTTCCGCGGCTTGAGGCAACGTGATGTTCTGCGCGATAACAAGGCCAAGGACCGCTGAGCGGGGAACAGCATGACCCGCCAGGATGCGGGCCATTCGCCATGCTTGCCTTCGGCCACTGGGAGAGTGAAGGGTCTCACATCGCTGTCGCCATTGTTTCCGTTGTTAGCGCTTGGTATGCCCTACGAAATGCCGCATCAATCCTTCGATACCGTTGTATATCCTCTTGTCTTGATGTTTTCAAGGCACGTCGTTGTGCTTTGCGGCGCGAGGCACGTAGCCTTAAGTATTTTAGGTCTGGGTTGGGTCTATATATAGGAACCGTAACTCTCCGTGTCGCTTTGCAGAGCGCCTGAGAGATGGCGGTCGTGTGATCAGTGGTGCCAGTAGATATTATATCTTCGAAGTACACTCGGAAGGCATCCCAGTTTGTTACACAACAAGTCTTGTGGGTGACAGGTCTTTTCTCTGGGGAAGTAACTATAATAGGGAGATGGTCACTGCCCCAGCTGTCGGGTTCGGCGAGCCAGAGCGCACGTACTGCAGCGGTGGCGAAACTTAGGTCGAGCACACTACACCAGGTCTCACAAAGGTTGCAGTGCCGTCATTCAGACACCGGAGGCCAATAGCTGTAGTGGTATCCTCTAGAGACCGGCCACGAGCGGACGTTTGCTTGTCCCCCCAGGCCTCGTTGTGGGCGTTAAAGTCCCCAGGGATCAGCGTGGCCGGCTTACACCGAGAAAGGATAGTGCGTAAGATGGAAGGACTCCATGGAGTACTAGGCCGAATATATACCGATACGATTGTAATGGCGTCCGAGTTGTCTTTTTGTATTGTGACAGCCACGTATTCTGCGCTTTGGTCGCAGAGATCTGAAAGATCCACTTGGAACTTAGGTAAGTCTCTGTGTATAAATAGAGATGCCTTAGGTGCGTCTGTTGTTGATGTTGTTCGGGGAGTACTAGTGTAGATAACATAGGGGGATAGTCGGATCGCTCCTGACTTCAAGTTGGTTTCCTGAAGGGCGAGTACCTCGACTTCGTGTCTCTGTAAATGTTGCCGTAAGTCATTTATCTTGTTCAGAAGCCCATTGGCATTCCACTGTATTATTGTGGGAAATAAGCTGCTTTTATTGCAGCGAGAAAGTGTATTCTTTGTATGTTTCGTTTTTCACTTTGCGATGTGTTGTTCCCGATGAAGCAGTCTAGTTGCACCAGGAAGTGGCAAGTGGAACAACAATGTCGATAATTGTGATCATTGCTTGAGCGATGGGTGACTGAAGAAAAGTGAGGAAGGAGCGCAACAACGTGGCAATTGTGCACAACGCATTACCAACGCTTTGAGACTTGGGCGTTGCAACTGATCTTGGCTTCTTTTGAGCTGGGTATTCTCTTGCCCATTTTCTTGGTACTTCTTGGTTCTTAGAAGTATTTTGGGTCGAAACAGCTTCTGCATTCTTGGCTGAAGACTCTGGCTGCTCTGCAGACGGGATCGTTGGCTTCGGCATGATTTCTGATGACGGCGTATCCAACGGAGGAAAATCGGTTTCATTCATCTCTGGGATGATAGCTTTCTTGTCTCCTTTCAAGCTTTGCTTTTGCTTGTGGGGAGGTGCGGTGCTTCTCCAGTCCTCGAACCTTTTGTTCATTCGTGATGACAGTTTTGGCAGACATATAGTCGACATTGTTCGAGCTTCTGTAGTTAGTTATCTGCTTTTCAGCTTTCTAGGCTGGGCATTTCCGGGACTTGGCATCGTGGTTTCTCTTGCAGTTTATGCACCTTGGTTGTTTCGCTTCGCACTCGCTGACGACATGTTCTCCACCAGATCGGCTGCAGCGTTGCGTTTTGGAGCATGTGCTCGCCAGATGTCCGAAGCGGTTACACTTGGGACACTGCCGCGGTTTTTCGAGGTAGGAAAGGACACTGTATCGTGTGTGCCCCACAAAGACGTATTCTGTTGAGGTTCTGGTGGAAAAGACAAGCTTTACCGCCTCTGTCTTGCCGAGTCTCCTCACTTGAATAACTGGTGCTTTTTCCCTTATTGATGCCCAGAGGTCCGCGTCTGTGATTTTGGCTCCGCGAATAGCGCCAACATTGGAAGATGGGGGTGCTGGCTCGTACGTCTGAACTTGGATTGTGCCGAGCTTCTTCAGTTGAAGAAGGGACTTCGTTGATTCTATATTTCTTGCATCTATCACCAATAGATTAAAGCGATAATTTGGTCGAATTTGGATTACTCCGTCTGGTGCCAGGTTTTCCAGCATCTGTTTCAGAGCCAGAGGATTCATGTTAGTGATGATTGTGGTCGGATTAGTAGGTTTGATAATGACCACAAGGTTGTGAGTCGGCTGAGTGATGATCGTCGCCTCACTCGAATTGGATCCGTGGCGTCGTTTGTTTGCTACTTTGGTGATCCATACACCTTCGTCATCAGACCCCTCCATGACGTTATCAGGGGAGCACTCAGAGATGTTGGATGATTCGGCTGATTGGTCTGCGCTGCATGCTTGTGGCGGTGCGTTTAGATGGCTCATTTTCCTTAATCCCCGTTGGTCGGAGACGAATCACTGCTTCAAGACCGAGGACAGCTGCCCCTCGTTGAAGAACGAGGGGTTGCGGCAAAATCGGTGGCAGATATATATATATATAAAATTGTTATTTACCTCTAGAGCAATGTAGACAATGGTCCTACCGCACTCGTCGTCGTCGTCGTTTTTTTCCAAATGAAAACAACAATAACAACAGAGGGTTTAAACGGTCCAAATACGTTCCCGACTACCTTACTGAGTTCTGTCACCGACGGAGTCACTCGCCGCACTTGCGCGTTTCACCAACTCCAAAAAAGGCGCCAATAGCTTAGCGTCTGGATGTAAAACAATGGGGAAAGGGGCGGCTGCTGTTCATCAATATGGCGGAAGTAAAAACGCGTTCCGTGTAACCGCCCTATACTGATTTTGAGTGCCCATGAAAAGGCATTAATGTGTGTCCAAATAGTCGCTGAAACATCACTAACAAGTGTCAAAGAATTAGTAAAAACATAAATGCGACTCAACATTTGGTATTTTTTTCGCGGTTCATGTTAGTGCTTGAGAATCTGCCGCTAAGGGCTTCATTAACTCACTCCGTCATTCTCAGTCTGGGGAGTGACGACACTGCTCGAGAAATCTTGGAAGTGTTAATGAACACATTGAGGCACATCTTTGTTAATGAAAGAAATGTATTTCGTAATACGTAATATTTTGCACCTCGCGAAGGTGAAAAATATTCCGCACGATGCATTCTGGCACAGTCAGTGACGGAAGTCCCAACAACACCACCGCCTGACTCATTTCCGGAGCGTGTCTCCTTTCCCCTCCCAAAGTCATCGGACGAACCCACACCGCAGCACCCTCAGAACTGCGCCAGTCAGCACTCGTTCGTCGAGTCGAACTTCAACCAAGCACCCGTCGCCACCAGGTCACGACTCGCTTTTCGTGTGGCTACCGCATCTGCAGCCAAGCACCGCGCAACAGACGTTGAGGGTGGCAGAAGAAAACCTCCAGGAATCCGAGTGGTGCCCTACGCCAGGCACCATGGGCAGCTGAAGTCGCCCAGTAACAGTCCCAATGAAATTGACTTCTACTAATGGTCGCCATGATGACTGTGCTCATTATGAGTTTCTCAATAATTAATGTCCGGATTCTACAGTCGATGGTGAAGCAAGATCAGTTGAAATGACTTGTTTCGTGAGCAACTCGATTTTGCAGCCCTTAAATACAAAGCGATCCACCGATGAGCACACTTCACGTGCTTTGGAAAACTTTCTTGATAGAGACGAAGTTTGTATTAGTGATGTAGCAGCTGTCTTTGCGGGTTGTTTTTGTTCCTTAAAAGGTCACCGGATTACCCTTTCCTTCCTTACGCCGTTGATAGCTTGAGGAGATTTATTTGTTGCAATTATTTGTTCAAGGAGTTTTACAAGTCGGTGATTTGTGCCTATGCATTTAATGACTCCAAAATATGTTTATTTTTATTCAACGACCTAGCAATAGGAGTCGACACTGTTGTTTTATTTGGTTTGTTGTTTTATTTTGTTGCTTTATTTAGGGATCACAATTCTGTATGCTTGCGACCGATCGGGACAAGCCCTTTTCTGCCAAGGATAGCAACGCTAAAACTGTATTGTCTTTCCTGTATAATTAAATCTGCCTATATGTTGGAGCCCGATGTGATACTAGGGTCCAGTATACGAATTTTTAAGGTTTTTTTCTTCTTCGCAACTTGGTCGAATCCATGATCCCAATTTTTTTAGGGATGAAGGTACTGGCTAGCGTTTCGCTCATTCTACTCCCCGATTACAGTTTTGTGACGGTACGTTTTGGAACGCTTAAATCAATTTCGCGCTTTCGTGAATGGAGGTTATGAAAGGTCAATACATCTCTCTTTGGCGATGGCACCTTATTCAATAAGGTTCGGGAACACACAGATTCAATTTCAACATACCACCCCTATTAGGTCATTTTATCATAATGGGTAAGATGCATGTTCAAGAAGGTAAAAAAGTGTAGTTGAACACAGTTCGGTTTGCTCGTTTTTTCAACATTTCAAGGAACCTTTGGCGGGAATTGTGCATCCTTGAGAGCGCACGCCCGGGTTCATGCATGCGAAAGATATGTGCATTAAAAGAAAGTTTTGAGGTATCGCCAATAGTCTCTGTGAGTAAATGTGGTCTTCGTTCAAAGTTGTCTTTGTGCTTTCATTATTACAGTGCTCGCATCGCTTGTTTTGTTCTGAATTTATTAGGGTGTACCAGCCGTAAAGCGTTTAGCTGTCGGTGGACATCTTCAGCTCAAGAATAAATGCATAAATAAATAAATACACAGACCCGTGAAGCATTTTATTTGCAGAGGCTGGCAGTGTTGCGTCAACGTATGACGCTTTAGGCCTTGGGCAGGAGGGGTCTTTGGGCGTCGATAAATGCTTGCGGTAAGGAGCGCCTGGGGGCGTCCGGCATGGCCCTGCCAGTGGCCACGGAGGCTAAGGCCGACGATGAAGCCGACAGGGACGCGTGCAGCGTGGTTAGGTTTGTCGACGCCGAGCGAGGACGGCGCTTGTCGCGGGTCTTGTCTCGGCATTTCAGCGTTTCGAGTACCTGCGGATGGGCCGAAGCACAGTTTACGAAAAGCTCCCATTGTCAAATCGTAGTCAAATAAGGCAAGTGGTCGGCTGTATTGCAAAAGTAAGATGTTGTTTTCGCTTCTATACTTCGTATCATCATAGATCCGAGCGCAGTACGTGACAGGCTCGAACCAATACAAATGCCAACCCACCTACTACACGTCGTTTCACTGTAACCTGGCAAAACATGAACGATACAGCTCATTGGAGCCAATTGGAGAAATGGAGGCGACGCACGGTGACAGCCGCCACATAAGGTACAGGAGCGAGAGCGTAACCCAATTATTCGGAGAAGAGAGAAAGGGGGTTACTCTTTCTTACACTCTTTTCTGTGTCCCGGACGTCGTTTTTGTTTCCCTAGAAGTATAGACAGTCCTTCCCACACCGGAAAGATTAGTTTAAATTGCTCTCCCCCTCGCACACCGCGAAATGGTAACAGAGAAAAACTTTGTTCATGAGCTAGCGTCACGGGTCAGTTGACACGTGACTCATTGGGGCACGACACAAGTGACCACGCAACCCATGGTGGCACGGAACATCTTACCCGGTAATTATAGGGGAAGAAACCACTTGACTCTTTTAGGTATTGTACTTAAAACACACTTCTTTACGTACGACCATAGTGCTGCAAAGAATATTTTCAGTGTGTAAGGTAAGGTATCAGGGTAGCTATATTTGAGCAGGAAGACCTTGGGCTTATTGCATGCCAAGCACTCCGTCCTTTCTCGCATGGTGCTACGAAAGACAGCTTGGACCGTTTATTCTACTCAAACACGAAATTCGTGTTTCCGGAAGCTCTAGATGTTTTATTGTGGCCGTCATCAGGACCTAAACGGCATCGATATGTTAACGAAATTTGGCTTCATGTTTGGCGGAGGTAACCTAAAAAAAAAAAAAAAGAAACAGTAAAAATTGGGGCATCAATTTATATTTCGTTTCACCGTAAAGGGGTTTAGGACACAAAAATTAAATGGGTAGATCATTCTTAAAAATGGATGCTCATTAGCTACTTAGTATATACACCAAGTGTGGTGATCTTTATATATCGAGTATTTTCAATAATGAGTTTAAGACTTTTGATCATTTTCATCTGACGACCACGCAACACTGCCCAAGTTCATCCCATCATAGCGTTCATAAACCATTTAATGATCAACGCTCTCTCATTCTATGCGGCCCCATGATCGCCCAAGCTGGCCTCGCCACCGGTACGAACGAAACCGCTCACACAACTCGGCTGTTCCAACGCTATTCTCGCTCTCGCCCCCGCCCCTTTGACCTTCCACCTCACAGGCACCTTCGAGATTGTCACGGACGACAAGGACCACGGCGAGTTCGTGCGTGACTCGTCGTCGCTGGAGCTGGTCGCGAGCGGGTCGTGGTAAAAATGCCCAGCTTCCAAAATCTCTCGATAACAATCCCTCTCATTGCTGCGGCGATCAGCGCCCAAGAGTTCGACGAAGCCAGCGATTCCGTAGATGTAATCGTCGGGAACCGCAGGCACGAAAGGCGGAAGGTAAACGAGGAAGCTGAAGCTGGGGTCGACAAGAGAGCCAAGGTTGGGGGACATGCAAGGGACGCAGCACGTTGGGCAGGCGACATCAACAACCCAACAACCGCGGCGCCCTTTTCGAATGGGGTCAAGCTCAGGGTCCCGCTTAAGAATCCATTTACCGACCAAACTATCGCGCCATTAAAAAAAAAAAGAAAAATAGCACACATATAGGAACGTACAATGGACCCTAACAGTATATCATACCTTATTTCTGGATCGTCCCGACCCTTTTAAGTCCGGACGTGGCCGTGGCTACAAGATGATCGGACCAATGAAAGAGCCTCAAGAGAGCACCATCACGGTGTATTGTTTATTTATGCATTTTATATATATTGATAGTTTCAGCTATTACAGGGTTATTACAAAAGTGTTAGTATGCTATCAAAAGGAGAATATTGATGCACACAGAATTAACATAAAAAGCATCAGTACATTCATACAGTGTGGTGTTACCGTGCCTCGATAAGTTTTTATGAGGCACGCATCATCTCTGTCAAGATGACTAGCATGCATTACGCGCATGTCCATCCGTGATCGCACGATATCCAAGCTGGGAAGATGAGAGCTGTGGAAGAAAGAATTATTCTGGTTCGGCCGGGGTCAACCCAACCTTCGGACGTCTCAGGTCTTGCTTTCACCCCAGTGGCCTACGCGATATGATGTCCGAAGTGGGATGACACCCCTGCCGTTCCTGGTCGTCGTTCACCCTTCCTTAGCATTGGTCGCCGTTTAAGGGCAACCAGGCATGGTCGGCGAAGAAAGGGACATGGGCGCGAGCCAGGCCTGTCAAGTTTTACACACCTCAAAGTTTTAGCTTCGATAAAACGTCGGTATGGCCAGCCTGGGTGCTAGAATTCGACGACTGCCGGTTCGCCTCGGGACTGAACGAGCGGACGCAAGAAGCAGAGGTAAAGCTGCAACAGAAAAGGATGAGCACTAGTGGCCCAGGCAAAAATCGGCCCATTTCCAGTTGGATTATGGAACTGAGAATGAGGCAGTCCAGCTGGATTCCGGCTGGACCCGGCTGGACCCAGCTGGAATCCAGCTGGACTGCCTCATTTCCAGTTCCATAATCCAGCTGGAAGTGGACTGATATTCACCTGGGAGCCGATGACCGGTGCAGCAAAATCGCGACACGTGGCTCTGTTGTTCCCGAGCGCGCCGATAGCGAGAGTCCCAGTGACGTTCCATGTCTCAACGCGGGGGTTTCCGGTAGGCAATTGAGGGGTACTATAGCGTTCGAAATGCGGTCTTTAGGATGGGCTGCTCTCTTCCGGCCACCCCCGCGTTGAGACTTGAAACGTGACTCGCACTCTCGCTATCGGCGCGCTCGGGAACAATAGCGCCGCGTGTCGCGATTTTGCCGCTCCGGTCGTCAGTCACTTGTGCTAATTTTTTTTCGTTGGAGCTGTGCAAACTTTGCTGTACACGCTGGGACGGCAGGCAAGGAAGATTTTTGAAAATTTCAACTTATCCAAAGAGGAGTCTAAGGGACTACGCCGTAGTCAAGAAAACGTTCAACGACCATTTCGTCGTGACACGCAACTTGCTCTACGAAAGCGCTTGCTCCCACAGCTGTTCTCAAGAACCAGTTGAGACGGCGGACCAGCTTGCCAGGGCGCTTCACACGTTGCCCGACCGGTTTGACTTCAAAGAAGTTCAAGAGCACATGATTCGTGACCGGGTTGTGGAGGGCCTGATGGGCGCGAAGCTGTCCGAGGTTCTGAAGATGGACGCGACATTGACGTTGGCAAGCGCCCTCACCAGGGCATGCCTGAAGAAGACGGCGCAACGGCAACAGATGCTGCCCTTCCGCAGAGCATGCTGCGCTGCCCTTCCGCAGAGCATGCAGAGACCGCCTCGTCAACTGCCAAGGTGGACGCAGTTCTCGGGGAACCGCAATCTACGGGGCGTCGCCCGTGGAACAGTCGGCGAGGTAGACGCAACGACAAGTCTGCTCACGGCAAAGGCGGTCTGAAGTGTTCTGCGTGGGGAAAAGGTCCACACTCCCGGCCTGCGTGAGCGGCCAGAGGAGCGGTCTGCCACAAGTGCTGCAAACAAGAACACTTCGCCGCCGCTTGCTTCACGCCCCCCAAGGTAGGCTTCAACGATGCTGGATCAGGGACAAGGACTGCTATGCGGTTGAAACGTAACGGTACTTTGGCTAGTACTAGCTCTGCACTGTTAGAAAATTCCATCAATCTACGTGGAAAAACCGAATAGAACATGTCCCGTTTTCTGGCAATGCATCTAATGTGCTGTTTGCGTTCAAAAACTGGAACGGTACCATATGCATTGAAACCTGCTACTTAGGCAATAAGCATAAGCTGATCCGAATAAAAAAAAAAGTCTTACAAGGTTACAATTTATAGTCGGTTCAACTGGTATACAGAAATTTAACACGTCCAGAAGTTCCAAAAACCCAGCAATTTTTATGGAACTCTATCAGACCGCGGAAGCACAGCGCCCGTGAGCCGTGGTTCGCCGCGCGCAGGAAGACATCTCTCTCTCGCGCAAGCGCATTGCGCTGGCGTCTGGCGCGGAACCGCGGAGTAGGCCCGCTGCTGGACTTCGGAATCCGAGCTCGACGTAGCTATCGCGTGTCAGCGGCGTTGACGGCCTCGTTTTCTAAGTTAAGTAAGTAAAGTTTAAGTTTTGTTCCGAATGCAGTGTTGGCTTGCTCTCTCTAAACGTTTCGTATATTCCAAGTTCGGTACGCCCAGCGTGTAGCGTCTCGCCTTCCCATGCGCATATAGCTAGGCCTTGTATAGGCCACAGCTAAGTGCGCGACTGCTTAGCGCGAGCTAATAACGAGCTACCACAATTCATTTGCAACGTGCATCCGGCACCATCAAGATTGCCGGTCCTAGCAATGCGAGCTCGTTTTGAGCACGACCACTCAAGCAGGCGATGGAGCCGACGATGTAGCAGACGATGGTGCTCATCCGGGCTACCTAGGAGGCGCTGAGGGAATCTACTAGTGATGACGTTTAGAGGAGGAAACGCGCACGCCTTGTGTTCTAAGTGGTATTGGCTATTGGGGAGGAGGACAGACCGTTACGCCCCAAGCGCTTAACTTATCAACTACACGGATGGGGACAACAAACACAATGACGCAGCGCTCGGCCGACATAACCGAACGCGGCGTCAGCGTTCGACCGGAGTTCGTGTTCTCCGGCGAGGGGGAGGAGGGGCTCTTTTGTTCCACGACGGCCTGCATGAACAATGCAGCATGCACGATCCCAGCTTAGCACAAAAGCCGAAGTGGGTCAAGCTCGCATTCTCAGAAGATAGATCCGGCACTTAACGTCGCTTCGTCGATTGTTAGTATTTTTTACATTAAACTGTGCCCCGCGCTGTATTGTAGAAGATGGCATGGCCATGCCCATAAGGCCTGTTGGAATGTGCACAGGCCTTGT